AAATTAATTTTTTAAATCATTATGGTTATGTTAAATCATGAACATAACTAATTTTAAATTGTTTATTTGTATCTGAAAAACTTAAAATATTGTTTTAAAAATAATTTAAATTTTAACTTAACTTTTTATAAAAAAAAAAATTTACATTGTAAAAAATGTAATTTTCTAATATTATTAGACAAATAAATAAATTATATTAAATTAGTTTTAAAACTTATATATTTTAAATACAAATATTTTACCAAACTGCTTTTTAAGAAAGCATTAGAGAACTTGTGAATACTCTACCAATCAAGCACAGTGACACTTTTTTTATTTTCCATCACTTGAATACTGAAAAGTTAAAAGATATATATGAAGTCGGGTCCATTAAATTTTAAGCTTTGATCTACAGTTCTAATACAATTGTTTCTGATCCTACGTATAGATAATTATATAAAAATTCCAAAATTTTAAAATTTCAAATACATATAAAAATAATCATATATAAATTTTAAATTTGTCAATACTAAAATTTTATATTTTAATTACATATATTTACCATGCGCAAGGCGCAGGTCTTATCCTAGTGGATTTAATTGTTTGGGTTCCTCCTCCTAAAGCAATTTAATTTTAATTAGTTTTTAGATAGTTTTAGATAACTTAGCAACTGTAATATTATTTTTGTTAAAAATAAATATAGAATTTTATCTAAAATTATGCGATTTAAATTTTTATCTTTAACTTGATTTATATATCTGGAAATATCAGATAAATTATCAATTTCCCACATTTTATTGTCACGCATGCACATGTGTTAAGAAAAAACATAGACCTGAACAGAGTACGCACGTATAGTCACCCATTTATTAACAAATTAATCATCCAAATAGAATTAATCAATTTGCATGTAGCTGTTAAAACGTGTATGAAAAACAAAAGCCACTAGAAAATAATCAAATATATATTGTTGTGCAGCATTCTTTTAACCTTTTTTTTTCGGGTCAATTCGTTTTTCCTTTTTTTTTTTTTGTTATCTTCTTCTTTCTTTAGTACAATTATACAAAATTTTGACGCAAACATTATTGGGACTGCCCTTTTGTCTGTTGCCCGGGGCAGGTGCACTGCTCTCCCTTATATTTAAGCCGGCTCCTATAGTACTTAAGAACTTAAGAAACAAATACACAACAGAAGTCTTAGAGATCATCCATGGGTTCTCCTCTGTAAGTTTCTTTGTTTCCATGCTACATTATAGAATTTCAGCTTCTAAATCTCTCTCTTTCTATACGTTTTTATATTCCTATAAAGAGTGAGTTTCTCCACATTTTGTTTATAGAGAGACTTCATGTAAAATTTAGCTTATCTTCTATAATTTTGTTCCTTTTACCAAGAAGTTTCGTAGAACATCGCCCAGCTTCGCTCGATGCTACTTCCGACCCACCTGCTCTGTTCGATGGCACCACGAGGTTTCTCTTTAATAGCATTTGTTACAAGTTATTCAAAGAAAAGTGTATTCATAAATCATGAGATGCACGTTTCTGGATGGATTGATCGATTAACTTTAAAGGGAGAATTTCAATTATACCACTTTGGTGGTACCACTTTTCATGTTTACCATCAACAAAGAAACCTTTTTAAAAATACACATTTTATTAAAGAATAAAACACTCTTATACCCTTGTTCTTTATATATATACATAAAATAAATATTAAATAAAATATTAACCCTAAACCCTAAAACATCAATTCTAAACTCTAGGCCCTAAAAAGTAAACCCTAAACCCTAAAAATCAAACCTAAACCCTAAACCCTAAAATATCAATTCTAAACCTTAAACCCTAAACTCTAAACCCTAAAAAGTAAACCCTAAACCCTAAAAAATTAACACTAAACCCTAAACTATCAATCCTAAACCCTAAACCCTAAACCCTGAATTATAATAGTATTTTAACTATTAAAATTTTAATGGTAAAGTTGGTTAGTGTAAAGTTGAAAAGTGGTATCTTGAAAGTGTTATTTCTGGCAATTTCCCAACTTTAAATTGTTAACTGTTAACATTATAAATCGAAAAAGGTTGTATACAAGCTACGTTTCTCCATATGCACAACGTGTTTGGATTACAAGAAACTACAAGGTATTCTTTTTTCTCCGTCTCTTCTGTTCTCACATTACTTTCTCTATGGATCTCGATTTTCATAGTGCCATTCCTAACATAATTTTTTATGTTGACTGACATACTTCATCTGTAATCGACAATATGCATATCCATGGTCTTATAAACCTCTTGAATATGACTTGTCTTTGTTTACAATTCTTTCTTTTTTGACATCGCCTTCACTACAAGAAAAATAAGATTTTCTGACGGTCAAATCCGTCAAAAATCCGTTAGAAAAGACCATTTCTAACGAATTTCTGACGGAATTGACCGTCAATTCTATGTCGTCAGAAATATTTTTTCGGTTAGAAAATGGTTAGAAATTTCTGACCGTTTTCCAACGATGACAAAACCGTCAAATATTTCCAACGGAATATCCCATCAGAAATTTTCTAACCGAATTAACCGTCAGAAATTTCTAACGGATTAGCCCGTCAAAAAATATATATAATTAAAAAATTATNAATTGACCGTCAATTCTATGTCGTCAGAAATATTTTTTCGGTTAGAAAATGGTTAGAAATTTCTGACCGTTTTCCAACGATGACAAAACCGTCAAATATTTCCAACGGAATATCCCATCAGAAATTTTCTAACCGAATTAACCGTCAGAAATTTCTAACGGATTAGCCCGTCAAAAAATATATATAATTAAAAAATTATATAATTAATACAATTTTTTTATAATACACACTAAAAACATAGCTATACATGTATACATACGTATATAATAATTATAATTTGTTAAATTGATTTTATTAATAAACATTTGGTTTACAAATTAATTGGTTTACAAATTAAACCAAACCTAAAAACTAAACCTAATCAAACCAAATCTAAAAGTACTCTTTAACCCTAACAAAACAGCCTCCTCCAGCCGCCTCGACTTGCCTCCTCCGCCGCACCACCAGCACTGCGACTACGGCTGAGACGTCGCCTTGGCCTCCTCCAGCCACCATGCCTGCCTAGCCTTGCCTCCTCGGACCCTATATGTAAAACAAACAAAATCAGTTCAAAGCTGAGAGAAAAAGACAGAGTCAGGGGGAGAGAGAAACCGAACCGTGGTGGTGGTGCTGGTGGTGGGACGGCGAGCATTGATCGTCGCTGGCCTTGTTGTCGCCGTCGTCGTTAGGCCATCTTGTCGCAAGGTCGTCTTGTATGAGAAGATAGAGAAGCTTTGAGTGTTAGAACAAGAATTGGAATTTTCAGAAACAATAACATAGATTCATTCGACAGAGATATATGTGAGAGAAAGAAGCACAAACCAACTAATCTGGACCATTGGTTAGATTTAATCAATGGTCAAGATAGCAATCCTCAACTCAATTGTTTTAGCCAATAGAAAAGCAGTACAAGGATAGCTAATTTTTTAATCAAAAAGGATAATAATTATGTATAGTTAAATTAGTAAATAGGAAATGATCGACATCACTTTAATGCTAAGATTTACTGTATGTTTTATTGTTTTGAAAATAAGGATTTGATATATAAATGTTAAGGTCATATAGTTATGTTTAAGATTTGGAATTTGAGAAATAACATCTAATTTACAAATTAAAATTGAAAAGATTAAAGTTTTATATTTAAGATTTGAAGTGTAAGTTTAAAAGTATTACAATTGGAGTTTTTATCATATAAGGTTTAAAGAATGTAGTTTAGGGTTTATATCAAGTTTAGAATGATATATGTAATTTAGAATTTAGGGTTTGGATTATAAGGTTGAGTTGAAGGTATGCATAAGGTTTAATTTATAATATAATGTTTTTAAGAATATAAGTGTCAATTTAAAATTTGAGGTTAACAATAAAAATTTAAGGATTTAGATTATAAATGTAGTGTTTAATTTGGAGTTTAGAGTTTANTTATATCAAGTTTAGAATGATATATGTAATTTAGAATTTAGGGTTTGGATTATAAGGTTGAGTTGAAGGTATGCATAAGGTTTAATTTATAATATAATGTTTTTAAGAATATAAGTGTCAATTTAAAATTTGAGGTTAACAATAAAAATTTAAGGATTTAGATTATAAATGTAGTGTTTAATTTGGAGTTTAGAGTTTAGAATGTATAAATAGTTTTAAATTGTTTGAAAATCAAAAATAAAATTTCTGACCGCATAAATCCGTCGGAAATTTTTAACGGTACAGACCCGTCAGAAATTTCCAACGGCATAGATCCGTCAGAAATTTCCAACGGTATAGGCCCGTCAGAAATTTCCAACCGCATCGATCCGTTGGAAAATTTTGACGAAATTTTGACGGTGTGGTATTTCGTAAATCGGGTAGAAATTTCTGACGAGTTAACATTCCGTTGAAAAACTGTTAGAAATTTCTGACGGAATATAAAACGGTTAGAAATTTTTGACGATATTATATTTTGTTAGAAAGTCGTCAGAAATTTCTGACGGAATTAAATCGATCAGAAAAGCGTCAGTTATTTCCAACGGAAAAAAGACGGTCAGAAAAATTCGTCAGAATTCTCCCTTTTTCTTGTAGTGCTTTCATGGAATAATTTTGTTTCTTTTGATGGGAAATAATAGAGAAAATGATTAGAATAGACATAAAAAAGTTTTTGTCACAAATATTGACCTTAACAATTAAAATGACCAAAATAGCACTTAAATGTTTTATTAAATATACATGTATATCCCTTGGGTTAACTAATCTTAGACTTTTTTGTTTAGAGTTGAGGAGTGGAGTTTTGGGAATAGGGTTTCAAATTTTTTTTTTTTAAAAAAAAAACTTAAAATTTTCAAAATAAAAAGTGCTATTTTGGTCATTTTAATTTTTGAGCTTTATTTTTATGATAAAAACCTAAAAGAACGCTATTTGAGAGAATTGCCCGGAATAATATCCCTTTGATTTTCATGACTATAGTATATACTAGTCGAACATAAATAGATACATGGATATATATCGTCTTATAAAACCTTGAAAATCTTAGATGTGTCCATGTATCTATTTATACATGGACATTTATGGTCTTATAAAACCTTGAAAATGTTATGTGTGTCCCAATGTAGTTTATTCTTGATATGCAAAATATGTACTGATTTTATCTGATGTAAATTGCAAACGGAAAATGTTTAAAGAAACTTGATTGGTCTCATTGTTTGATATTGGGGAGTTTCAGGGTCTGCAAGAGGATATCAAATTGGTTCCTCTAAACCTCTTTAACAGGCCAAGTTGGTATAAAGAGAAAGTAAATCCAGCAAACATGGTAAAATATGAATTTATGTGTGACAAGACTTTCAATGAAAGTGAAGAGTAATCCTTGATTGACAATTATCAATGTAGGTTCCTGCACTTGAACACAATGGCAAGATCACTACAGAAAGTCTGGACGTGATCAAATATGTTGATAGCAACTTCGACGGGCCTTCACTTTATCCCGAGGTTCGAATTTTCATTTCCGTATACATGTATTTGATGTTAAAGATATTGTATTGTCATGTGTTTTATGTGATAATTCTTAACTGGAAAGAAAACTTTGTCTAGGATCCTATAAAAAGAGAGTTTGGTGAGTACTTGATGAACTATAGCAATACAACGTTCGTTAATATCGTCTTTGGCTCGTTCAGAGGTAACCCGGCTAAAGAATCAGGTAAGATATTACCCTGGGGATATTAGTATGATTTTTTTCTTTTCTTCTAACATTACATGTCAAATTATGTGTTTATCATCAAAATTTAAAATACAAGATTTTTTTTCCTTTTTGCTCAGTGTTTGCAATATATATATATATAATTTATTTGATTTTCTGCAACCATAATAATATTTGAATTCTGTTGATTTTATAGCAAACTCAAATGCAAACATGAGTTTGTAACATTAATCCCCATTGGTACGTAGTAGTATATTGGAAAGCCAGTAAATGTATGAGCTTATAAATGCTATTAGTACTAATAACCTCCACGTTTTTCTTGCAGCACCAGTCTTTGATTATTTGGAAAATGGTTTGCACAAGTTCAACGATGGTCCATTCTTCCTTGGCAAGCTTAGCTTGGTAAAAAAAACATGTTTTCTCTAATTATTACTGCAAATCGCAAATCTTCACTTCCAAATGGATCATGATTTTTACAATTTTTTCAGGTTGATATAGCGTTTATAACATTGATTGAACGCGTTCAACCCCTCCTTGAAGATGCTTATAAGTATGACATTACTCTAGGTCGACCAAAATTAGCCACTTGGATCCAGGTATATAAAACAGTCATATACATTCTGACACATGCACACACATGCTTAATTATTAGGTGAGTAACATCATGGCTAATTCTCGAGGGTTTTGTGCAGGAAATGAATAAGATAGATGCTTATACTCAGACGAAAGAAAATCGAAAGGAAGTCATCGAGTACATGAAGAGTCGTTACATGCTAAGAGCTTCAAAATCTATACGATACCAAAATCACGCTTCCAAACTCTAAACACATGCATCAGTACTTTGCATGTGCTTAGCAGTTTAAAACTGGACGGAACTTTCATGCTTGCTTTCTTGGTAACGTACGATATTAAAGTTGGTTTGTTAAAAGTTGTTGGTTTTGTCTACAGCGTAATTGGTCGACAAAACAATGTTGTAGAAAGTCTTACAATCCAACCAGTTAGCCACATTTGTAAACGTAAATGTGTGTCAGTAATTGAAAGTTTGTTGTTTAACCGATTAAACGCATATGTTTGTTCAGGTATACTTTCTTTTCCTAAAATAAAGTAGCCATTGTCCTAACCAAAACCAACCCAAACTGATTTTAACGTATCTTCTCTTATGCCCTTTTTCAAAAAAAAAAAAAAAAACTTAACTTCTCCTGATTTTTGTTTTTGTTTGTTACAAATTCTTTTGAAATTTATGGAAGTTACAAAAACACTTTGATTAAAATGTGAATTTAAAATTTAAACTGATACTAACCGGAACAGGTTTTAATTTAGTTTCCACACTAGGTAATCACCCTGCGCGGAATGAGATTATTATTTTTATTAATTTTAAGATAAAAATGATATTATGTTTGTTTAGCATGGATATTGGTTCAGTTTTACGTTGTTTTTTCTAATGTCCTAAAATATAACTATCGTTCTAAATCTATATTTATTTTGGTTTGTTTGGTTTTAAAGGTTTGATGTTTTTAATTTTTTCGATGATAACCAAAAACTATTCTTATTTTTTTGGTTTCTTTTATATAAATTTTAGAGATTTTTTATGTCGAACTAATAGTTTCCTATTATAATTTCTAACGACATGTAAAATCAAATAAAATCTAAATAATATTTGAAGGAAAAATACAATAAAATTATTAACACAAAATATTTCACTACAATTTGAGAAAGAGTGAAAAAAAAATTCAACCTCAATAAGAATTAAAATTCTCACTTGTGGTGGATATTTAGTTATATAGTCGCTCATGTCAATGTGTATATGCATGTATATGTAAAAGTATATAAATGTGATGATAAATATATGAATATACGGTTAATTAAGATTTAAAACATTTTTGTTCAAAATAACACATGATAGTAAATTATTAAATAAAATTAAGTAAAAATAAACAAACCTAGAAATTAATAACATTTTTTTCATATGAAGAAAATCAAATTGTACCCGTAAAGAATAAAAATAATATATATATTACAAAGTGACATCTTCACTTGGTACATGAATTATGTTTTTAATCGATTTTGTGATTTTTATTTCTTTGTAAAGCTTTTTTTTTATTTTTTTTTACCAATTTGATTTTGTTTCTAATTCTTGGTCTGATATGAGAACTTTATAAAAATGTAAATATTTGACTAAACTAAAGATCCGACTTTACGTGTGGTATTTTTCACCTTAGTTTCTTTAATTCATAATCAGTAGGGCTGTTCAATATGGTAATACCGAACCGTACCGAACCGTAATAGACAATATGGTTTGGATTTGGTATATACCATATAAACCGAATGGATATGATTTTATAAAAATCGTAGGATTTGGATATGGTTAGGTTTATAACCGATTAAACCGAATAAACCGAACAAAACCGATCAAAGAAAAAGTATATAAATATATACATTATATAACCATTTATTTTCTTGGAATAGCCTTTTTTTTTTTACTTTTTTATTCCTTGTGAAAATATATCTTAAATTTTATTTTATTTTCTTCAACTATTATCTAAGTTTGATTTTATTTTGCATGTTGTAAGAAATTGTGAAATTAGATTGTACCATGTAATTTATTTGAAAGAACAAATAGAAATAAGAAAAGCTATACAAAACTAAATTGTTGATCGTTTTGTTTGTTGTTAATTTCACATTTTTGTATTTATGAAAACCTAGGATTATTTTTATAAATGATAGTTTTGACAATATGTTTTTTTTTTTTAATTCATATAATATGAAACCAAATCAAATAATAATGTTATTTGGTATAAAATCGAATAAACCAAAAACCGGTAGTATAAATACCGAACCAAACCAAATTAAATATGGTTCCAATATGGTAGCTAACTTTTATAAACCGAATAACCAAAAACCGAAAAAACCGAACTGAAACCGGACCGAACACCAGATTGAACATGCCTAATAATCAGTCACCATATTTGTTGTTATTGTGTACCAAAGCCTCAACCATGACCTACTTCGGCAAGGTATGAAACTTTCAATTTCTACAAACATTTTCATCGCAACATTTTAGTTTATGCGAATCTTAATGATTTTGTAATTTTTTACAATAAAGATATTATTCATTAGTTTCAGGTAGAAAGTTTTATTTTATTAATGTAAAGGCTAAAAATGTAGGAAAAATGAATTAATTAAAAAGTATATAAACACATTAAATAATGAAATTAAAAAAATAATGTGTGAACACATTAATTGTCAAATGATTGTGAAACCAACACGTATCAATTACGGTGTAAACACATTTATTACAATACTTCTTTTTTAGTATATAAGAGATTGTACAAAAGGGAAAAGCTCCTATTCTGGTTACTCATGGTCTTTTTAGTCTGGTTAACATTGGATAAGCAAATTAAGTTAAATCGATTCCGGTTTTTCTTTTGCAATAGTATTGTATACCGAGTGCTGTAAGTTTCTGGATTTGGGGCATATTTGACATCGTTCTTAATAAACAAAACTAGATTTTAACCCGCGCTTTAAAAGCGCGGGATTATTTTGATAACGTAATATTAATTGAAAAATACAAATTTATTCATAATTTCTTCTGTATATAAAATATATTTCAAATAGTGCTAATAGTTCTGATTTTCTAAATAATTTCCTCCTTGTCTTGGTATGACGTTGTGAACTCTCCATTATTATCTTCCACATAATATGGTGTACATTAATCCATATTTAAATAGGTGATTGTAAGTGATTAAATTACTACTAGAATTAATTGACAACTAAGTCTAAGTTAGTTAATATTTATGTTATATGATTTTGATCCGTTCAATTTGTGTTATACTTATACTTGATAAATATTATGCATGTTGATAGATAATCCATTAATACTGTAATTAGGAAAAAATAGTAACCATTATTCTATCAGTCATTTAATAATATATTTATAAAATATTTTATCTAATTTTCAAATATTATTTTATTGGAAATGTATATAATTTGTAATGTATTATGTAGGAATAATTTTAGTTTTAAAGTTGTAGCTATGTTTTAACAATATAGATTCTCATAAATAGATTTGTTAAGATTAGATCATAAAAAATACATTGATGTACATTTTTTTAGGATAAATAATTCACGATTAAACAAATACGTTTAAATCTATTATTAAAAGATCTATCTTATTAAAATAGAAGATAAAAAGTTTCCAAATATTACAATAAGTGGACATCAATAAAGTTTTTTAGATATAAAAGTTTTTGTATAAAAGGAGATCATGTTGATAACAACTTTTTGAATGACTATATAGTTTGAAATGAAATGTTAAAACGCTTTTTATAGATGTACGATTGGAAATTTTAGTTATCTGTATGTTTCCTTATTTTTATTTAAAGAGTTTTTAAATATGTAAAAAAAATTCTAACATATATTTAGTTGCGTTTTTGTATATTTTGTACACAAGCTAGAAATAGATATTCTCAAAGTTAACCCATCACCATATAAAATCTAGTATAAAACATCACGACGGTTTATATATGATGTAATAATCACATTTTTTATTTATAGAGTTAATATATTTTTTTGTTGGCATCGGTTCGTCTAGTGCACGTATGAATCTTGAACATGTCAATTTAGTATGATTATTTAGTTACATTTACATGTCGTTGATAAAATCTCATTAAATATCTTTGTGTAAGATATTATAATACATAAAACGGAAAGTTAATAAGATTAATTAGGGAAATATGGTTTCGAAAATCTCCTGGATTAATGAGAATATTAGTTTGATTTGTTCAAAAAATAATAGTAAAATTTAAATTAATGTTAATGACATACAATTGTAAATAACTTAAAAACCAATCCTGCTTTAATAGTATAGATGTCCCATTGTTCTACTTTAGTCACAAGAGATTTGGCATCGTTTTTAATTAATAAAGGTTATGAACTTTTGTATGAATCCTGCGTGTGTATATCGGAGTCCCAATGTATAAACATTAAAACAAAATTATTGTTATATATACGAGTCTCATTGTATAGACATGTATTATCAGATCCGTTATACATGCCTCTGTCATGGCTTAATTAAATAACAGCAATCTATATAATAATGATTCACTTTTGAAACTTCTAAGGTTATCCACGTCAGTAGCCGAGTGGGCCTCGCGCCTATGTTATTTGGGAAAAAAAACATATAAGAATTTTTAACATTGAATGTTATCAACGAATGAAGATTTGGCCGAGTGGTTTAAGTTGTAAGATGAGAAGTTTGTACCGCGAGTGTGCGGGTTCGAAACACAGTGTATGCATTTATTTATTTTTTTCCATTTGGGCTTTTGGGTTTCATTTGGGCTGTAGGGTTTGGATTGGGCTTTTTAGGTCTCAACCTCATAATCTTTCTCTGCCGCGTTTCCCTTTCCAGACGACTTCACTCACGATCTACCTCCTTCATGAGCTTCAATGGTGACCTTCGAAATTCAAGCGTAACTGTTCCTACTCTCAGCTTCCTTTTATATAAAGGTGTTAGATGCTTGTCTTTCTTCTCTTCCTCTCATTTTTCGTCTGCCTCTCCATATTTTATTCAGAAGCACGATCTACATAATGATTTCATCAGGTTCTCAGATCCCTTTCGGCGCCGTCACCCCCTTCAACTCCCTCCGCCTTGGAAGAACTTCACAGAGCATTGTTGGCCGGCTCACACGTTTCTGGGACTCCCACAATATTATCAAGAATCAGTTCATGGGCATAACCGTTCTTCTCCTTGATCAAGATGTATGTATTTTTTCGTTTTCCATATTTTTTTTTAATTAAATAAGCTACTTGAGTCTGGTGTATGATT